TTCAATCACTCTTACTCCCAATCACTCTTACTCTCAATCACTCTTACTCTCAATCACTCTTACTCTCAATCACTCTTACTCTGATTCTTACTCTTACTCACTCTTACTCTCAATCACTCTTATTCTCATTCTTACTCCTACTCCCAATCACTCTTACTCCCAATCACTCTTACTCTCAATCACTCTTACTCCCAATCACTCTTACTCTCAATCACTCTTACTCTCAATCACTTTTACTCTCAATCACTCTTACTCTCAATCACTCTTACTCTCACTAACTCTCAATCACTCTTACTCTCACTCTAACTCTCAATCACTCTTACGCACTATTACTCACTCTTTCTCTCAGTCATCCTTACTCACTCTCATACTCACTCGTACTCTGTCACTCTTACTCTCTGTCACTCTTACTCTCTGTCACTCTTACTCTCTGTCACTCTTACTCTCTGTCACTCTTACTCTCTCTATCACTCTTACTCTGTCATTCTTACTCTGTCACTCTTACTCACTCTCAGTCAGCCTTACCCATTCATACTCACTCTCTCACTCTTACTCTCATACTCTTACTCTCAATTACTCTTACTCTCAATCACTCTTACTCCCAATCACTCCTACTCCCAATCACTCCTACTCTCAATCACTCCTACTCTCATTCTTACTCTTACTCCCAATCACTCTTATTCTCAATCACTCTTATTCTCATTCTTACTCTTACTCTCACTCTTACTCTTACTCCCAATCACTCTTACTCCCAATCACTCTTACTCTCAATCACTCTTACTCTCAATCACTCTTACTCTCAATCACTCTTACTCTCATTCTTACTCTTACTCACTCTTACTCTCAATCACTCTTATTCTCATTCTTACTCCTACTCTCACTCTAACTCCTACTCCCAATCACTCTTACTCCCAATCACTCTTACTCTCAATCACTCTTACTCCCAATCACTCTTACTCTCAATCACTCTTACTCTCAATCACTCTTACTCTCAATCACTCTTACTCTCAATCACTCTTACTCTCACTAACTCTCAATCACTCTTACTCTCACTCTAACTCTCAATCACTCTTACTCTCATACTCACCCTTACTCTCAATCACTTTACTCTCACTCTTACTCATTCTGTCACCCTTACTCTCACTCTTACTCACTCTGTCACTCTTACTCACTCTTACTTATACTCACTCTTACTCACACTTACACACTCTCTGGCACTCTCACTCACCTTCAGTCACTCTTACTCACTCTTACCCACTCTCGCTCACTCTTACTCACTCTAGTTAATAAGAACACGCCAATATAAGACAGCAAAACGTTTTCAGATTCTTTCTCACCACTTTCCAGCAACTTTTATAATTTATATAAATTATCTTAGGGAATAATACATAAATTATATATTTAAACATGATATTAGTGTTTAGTGGAATGCATAAGGAGTCAAATTGTGTTAAAAAGAGCGATTTTTAGAAAATTTGGAAAACTACTTTTTTCTGTTCATATTATAACTAAATGGATTTTAAAGGTTTCACTCGGCCAATATATATCATTCACAATTTATTAATGAATTTTACAAAAAAACACCATAAATTTTATATTTAAACATGTAAAAACTATTTGTTTTACATTTGGAAGAAAATAATTGTAGAAAAACAATTTATAATTAAACCTTTGTGTTTGGATTTTTTGAGTAAAAGTTTCTCAAAGGCTCTCCTGCACCATTCTCAATGCAAATCATTCCCACGCCTATGGGAAGAGATAGGCGAACGTTGTGTAGATGATTTGTGTTTGCTGGGAGAGGACTGTCCCAAGGAGCATCACACTCCGGCAGCCGCCCACGAAGCCCCCACACGGCGACAACGAGCTGAGCGGGGAGGGGGTGGGGGATAGTAGAGTGTCCTCCAGGTGGGGGGGATAGTAGAGTGTCCTCCAGGGGGAGGATAGTAGAGTGTTAGCCAGATGGGATGATAGTATAGTGTTAGCCAGATGGGATGATAGTATAGTGTTAGCCAGATGGGATGATAGTATAGTGTTAGCCAGATAGGGGGAAGAATAGAGTGTCAGTAGCTGGAATAACATTAATGTCAGCCGAGATGCGAGTAATCAGCCTTTAACTGTGTTACAGACTGCTCGCTGCATTACGTCACTATAAACTCGGTCGGAAGGTTGGGCAACAAGATCACAGAATACCTGTCTCTCTCTGTCATACGGAAGGTCTTCGGTGTACGGGTGAGTTGTAATGTTCTCTTCATACAAGATCCCACAATACCTGTTTCTATCATACGGAAGGTCTTCGGTGTACGGGTGAGTTGTAATGTTCTCTTCATACAAGATCCCACAATACCTGTTTCTATCATACGGAAGGTCTTCGGTGTACGGGTGAGTTGCAATGTTCTCTTCATACAAGGTCACACAATACCTGCTTTCTCTGTCATATGGAAGGTCTTCGGTGTACCGGTGATGTGGGGAAATATCTCCAATATGTAATCTAATATAATCATAAATTAATTAATTGATCTAAATAAACATCAGAGAACTGGACTGTATAAAATTCTAATCGTTAGTTGGATTATTTCCCCTGCACATATTTTTTTTTTTGGGGTGGGTGGGGTAGAACTAATAATGCTGGAACTACCTATTGCATATAAATGTTGAATAAATTCAATAATAAATTTCATCAATAAATCAAAGTTATAGAGTTAGTAAACTAACTACAATAATATAACTGAGAAACATCTGCTTAGCTGTTTAGCAGTTAATAAGGAGTGGATCAGACAGCCTTCCAAATCAGTCTAATCCTGTCTGGACGTGATGGCGTTGCAGACACGTGATTCACCAGACAAGACGATCCTCTCTCGTAGATAAACTCCACTCTGTGAAAATCATACAATGTAATTTCTATATGACTATGAGTATATCCACTAATTTTCATTGAAAAGGGTTGACTGATTTAGGGAAATACACTTACTATGGTTTTTTGATAATCTAACGTAATAACGATTGGACAATCACTAGGTATTATGCCCATAGAACGTGAAAAGATTACTAATCCAACCGGACGTGGTGTCCTCAATGATAAATGAAGCAGGCAGCAAAATCTGGGACCCGATAATGCTCAGATGATCTCTATAATGTGTGATGCTAATGGAGAGCTTCGGGACACCGATCAAAGTTGGCTTCTCCTCTGCCAAGTCTCTAGGCAAATGACATGAGCGCCACCGTAGCTTCTATCTGTGCAATCTCGGCATATAAGTCTCGATATTTTATTCTGTTTTACTATCTAATTAAAACATTGCCGACGTTATTTTACGTCATAATAATGCACTTCAGGTATCAACAGTCGGTTTTTAAATTAAACCGACTGTTTAAAGTAAATTAAACAAAGGTGAGACTGGGTTTAATTCGATTTATATAAATAATTTATTCTCGTGGGAGCTGGGCAGCTGATGTAACAGCGTCATTTATATCAGGGAGAATTTGGCTGCCCCTGGCCACCTGTTAATAATGTTAGTAAATTTAATTTCCTAGCACACTAAATTTATCTTATCGTACTAGGGTGTTAGTATTTGGGGAGTCGGAGATTTCCGACAGGTGAGTTGTAATGTTCTCTTCATACAAGATCCAACCCAAGGTTGGGTTTGGTCATATATCTACGTTAGTTTTAACTCAAAATAAAAAAAATAACTCATTTATAATGAAATGGATAGCTTTATCATTTCGTAAGGAAAAAAATAGAAAAAATACATAAATTCAAGAAAACTTGGCTTATTAGGCAAAGCGGGTCTTACATAGTAGGCCGAGTACTGCATTTTGGCCAGAACGCTGTTCTTGGCCTACTATGCAAGGCCCGGTTTGCCTAATAACGCATGAGCTGTGGAAAACAACTTTTCTTTTCCGTTTTATGAGCTGTGGAAAAGAACTTTTCTTTTCCACAGCTCATAAAACAGAGGAAAGGGTCTTGAAAGATATTGTTAATAGAAACGTTATCCCTACAGAAAAAAAATCAGAAGATACAATTGACGATCTACTATTAAACCAAGAAAACGGCCATCCTACTCATGAGAAACTCTCCAGACACAAAGCAGAACGCTTTAAAAGAGACCAATGTCGTCTATGCCTTCAAATGCCCACTTGGGGACTGTAAGCCTCAAAGAATTCAGTATATAGGCAAGACAACAACATCTCTTTCCAGGCGATTAACGATGCATAAGCAACAGGGCTCCATTAAGGAACATATAATCTCTTCCCACAACCAGACCATCACCAGAGAAGTCTTAACAAAAAACACGGAAATCATCGATAGATACAGCGATAGCAGGCGGCTAGATATCTGCGAGGCACTACACATTAAGAAGTCGACACCAGCAATCAACAGGCAATTAATGCACAACTATATTCTACCCACTTCAAGACTCCGCACCAATATAGAAGCATCAAGAAATATGGGCCAATAGGCCCTTTGCAGTTACTTCCATTCTTCCCTTTAACTTACAAAATATTATACACATTGTTTCGTGTTCTGTCTTGTGTTGAAAGTTTGTTTTCAGAGAGATTTTATAGTGATCCAGAGAGATTTTACTCTCTTTTTTATGTAACTGAATAACTATTACGTATGAATATGGAATGTGTGAGTCTCATCACTGAGGATGGGAAGAGTGAACATTGTTCTGTACGTCTTAATGTGTGTGTCACATCACTGAAGATGGGAACAGTGATCATTGCTCTGTACGTCTAAATGTGTGTGTCCTATCACTGAAGATGGGAACAGTGATCACTGTTCTGTACGTCTAAATGTGTGTCCCAAAAATGAAGATGGGAACAATAAACATTGCTCTGCACGTCTAAATGTGTGTGTCACACCACTGAGGATGGGAAGAGTGAACATTGTTCTGTACATCTAAATGTGTGTGTCCCATCACTGAAAATAAGAACAGTGTACATTGAGTGAGTCTGACACTGCGGTAATCCAATACTCTGACCTGTGTCTGTGTTCCCTCCAGGCGGCCATTTCTCAAGAATTGAATGCTTCACTGGTGGTGATCTTCCCCAAGCTCAGCCTACCGGTTGCTGCCGGCGAGTGCTATCCTCGCCTCACTCAGCACGAATCATTCGCAAGCTTGTACATGAAGCTGTTTGCCAAGAGCGCAGGAAGCAGTGATAGAACACTCTACGACACCCAGCTCTACCCGTACCCGCTCCAGCAGTCTGTCTACATCAACGACTTCCCCTGTCCTTCTCACATTCTCATCACTATGAGAGATCACTTTCGCCAGGAGTTCACCTTCAACCAGCGGATTCTGAATGAAGCTAAGGCCCAGGTTGCTGCCGCTCTTAAAGCAGTGAACAACCTGGCCCTGACCAACGCCACCATAGTGACCGTCCACGTGCGCAGGACCGACTACCTCGCTCACGTCCAAAACTATTATGGCCAAAGTCCTGTCAAAGATATATACTATCAACGGGCATTTAATTTCTTCAGGAACAGGTGAGTGGAGACGTTGAGTTATTTCACTGTGTCATGGCAAGTCCTGTGTAACAGTGTGATTATCCTCACAGATCGACCACCTCTGTGATGCTCCGAGCACCTCAGCTTGACCACCTCTGTGATGCTCCGAACACCTCAGCTTGACCACCTCTGTGATGCTCCGAGCACCTCAGCTTGACCACCTCTGTGATGCTCCGAACACCTCAGCTTGACCACCTCTGTGATGCTCCGAGCACCTCAGCTTGACCACCTCTGTGATGCTCCGAACACCTCAGCTTGACCACCTCTGTGATGCTCCGAGTACCTCAGCTTGACCACCTCTGTGATGCTCCGATCACCTGAGCTTGACCACCTCTGTGATGCTCCGAACACCTCAGCTTGACCACCTCTGTGATGCTCCGAGCACCTCAGCTTGACCACCTCTGTGATGCTCCGAGCACCTCAGCTTGACCACCTCTGTGATGCTCCGAACACCTCAGCTTGACCACCTCTGTGATGCTCCGAGCACCTCAGCTTGACCACCTCTGTGATGCTCTGAGCACCTCAGCTTGACCACCTCTGTGATGCTCCGATCACCTCAGCTTGACCACCTCTGTGATGCTCCGAGCACCTCAGCTTGACCACCTCTGTGATGCTCCGAGCACCTCAGCTTGACCACCTCTGTGATGCTCCGAACACCTCAGCTTGACCACCTCTGTGATGCTCCGAACACCTCAGCTTGACCACCTCTCTGATGCTCCGAGCACCTCAGCTTGACCACCTCTGTGATGCTCCGAACACCTCAGCTTGACCACCTCTGTGATGCTCCGAACACCTCAGCTTGACCATCTCTGTGATGCTCCGAACACCTCAGCTTGACCACCTCTCTGATGCTCCGATCACCTGAGCTTGACCACCTCTCTGATGCTCCGAGCACCTCAGCTTGACCACCTCTCTGATCCTCCGAACACCTCAGCTTGACCACCTCTGTGATGCTCCGAACACCTCAGCTTGACCACCTCTCTGATGCTCCGAACACCTCAGCTTGACCACCTCTCTGATCCTCCGAACACCTCAGCTTGACCACCTCTGTGATGCTCCGAACACCTCAGCTTGACCACCTCTGTGATGCTCCGAACACCTCAGCTTGACCACCTCTGTGATGCTCCGAACACCTCAGCTTGACCACCTCTGTGATGCTCCGAACACCTCAGCTTGACCACCACTCTGATGCTCCGATCACCTGAGCTTGACCACCTCTCTGATGCTCCGAGCACCTCAGCTTGACCACCTCTCTGATCCTCCGAACACCTCAGCTTGACCACCTCTGTGATGCTCCGAACACTTCAGCTTGACCACCTCTCTGATGCTCCGAACACCTCAGCTTGACCACCTCTCTGATCCTCCGAACACCTCAGCTTGACCACCTCTGTGATGCTCCGAACACTTCAGCTTGACCACCTCTCTGATCCTCCGAACACCTCAGCTTGACCACCTCTGTGATGCTCCGAACACCTCAGCTTGACCACCTCTGTGATGCTCCGAACACCTCAGCTTGACCACCTCTCTGATCCTCCGAACACCTCAGCTTTATTTGATTATTAATTCACTTTCTCTTCACCTTCCTGCCCTTCTCATCACTTTCTCTTCCCTCTGCTGACCTGCACATCACATTTTCTTCACCCGCTTAACCTGCACATCACTTTCTCTTCTCTCTCCTGCCAGGCACATCACCTTCTCTTCACTCTCCTGCCCTCCGCATCACTTTCTCTTCGCACTCCTGCCCTTCACACCACTTTCTCTTCACCGTCCTACCCATCACATCACTTTGTCTTCTCCCTCTCCCCTTCACATCACTTTCATTTCACCCTCCTGCCTTTAACATCACTTTCTCTTCTCCTTCCAGCCCTTCACATCACTTTCTCTTCGCTCTCCTAACCTGCACATCATTTTCTCTTCTCCCTCGTGCCCTTATCATCATTTTTTTTCACCCTCCTGCCCTGCGCAATGCTTTCTCTTCTCCTCTCTTCACATTTCTTTTTTTTTCTCCCTCCCAAACCTTCACCTATATCATTGGTCGTTGAAACCACCCAATTACGATTATAACCCACATAATAGACTAACCAATTATGTTTGCAGCCCAGATAATAGGCCAAGCAATGATGTTTGTAACCCACAGAATAAACTAACCAATAATGTTTGTAACCCTCATAATAGGCCAACCAATGATGTTTATATCTCACACAATAGACCAACCAATGATTTTTGTAACCTGCATAATAGACAAACCAATTATGTTTATATTCCACATAATAGACCAACCAATGATGTTTATAGCCCACATAATAGACATACCAATGATGGTTGTAACCCACATAATAGACCATCCAATTATGTATAGCCCCACATAATAGACCAACCAATGATATTTATAACCCATATAATAGACCAACCAATTATTGTTCTAACACACATAATAGACTACCCATTGAAGTTTGTAACCCACATAATAGACCAAACAATTATGTTTATAGCCCACATAATAGCCCAACCAGTGACGCTTATAACCTTAATTATAGATCAACCAAAGATGTGTGTAACACACATAATAGACCAACCAATGATGAACAGAACAATTAATCCGGTGTTCTCGTGTTCCTCAGAACAAACAATCCGGTGTTTGTGGTGACTAGTGACGACCCAGAGTGGTGCAAGAAGAACTTTAGAGACAAGGATATTGTTTATGGTGGTGAGTATTGTTGTGGTGATGAGTATTGTTGTGGTGGTGAGTATTGTGGTGGTGGTGAGTATTGTTGTGGTGGTGAGTATTGTTGTGGTGGTGAGTATTGTGGTGGTGGTGAGTATTGTTGTGGTGGTGAGTATTGTGGTGGTGGTGAGTATTGTGGTGGTGGTGAGTATTGTGGTGGTGGTGAGTATTGTGGTGGTGGTGAGTATTGTGGTGGTGGTGAGTATTGTGGTGGTGGTGAGTATTGTGGTGGTGGTGAGTATTGTTGTGGTGGTGAGTATTGGTGGTGAGTGGTGGTGAGTATTGTTGTGGTGGTGAGTATTGTGGTGGTGGTGAGTATTGTTGTGGTGGTGAGTATTGTGGTGGTGGTGAGTGTGGTTATGGTGGTGGTGAGTATGTGTTGTGGTGGTGAGTATTGTGGTGGTGGTGGTGGTGAGTATTGTGGTGGTGGTGAGTATTGTGGTGGTGGTGAGTATTGTGGTGGTGGTGAGTATTGTGGTGGTGGTGAGTATTGTTGTGGTGGTGAGTATTGTGGTGGTGGTGAGTATTGTGGTGGTGGTGAGTATTGTGGTGGTGGTGAGTATTGTGGTGGTGGTGAGTATTGTGGTGGTGGTGAGTATTGTGGTGGTGGTGAGTATTGTGTGGTGGTGGTGAGTATTGTGGTGGTGGTGAGTATTGTGGTGGTGGTGAGTATTGTGGTGGTGGTGAGTATTGTGGTGGTGGTGAGTATTGTGGTGGTGGTGAGTGTTGTGGTGGTGGTGAGTATTGTGGTGGTGGTGAGTATTGTGGTGGTGGTGAGTATTGTGGTGGTGGTGAGTATTGTGGTGGTGGTGAGTATTGTTGTGGTGGTGGTGAGTATTGTGGTGGTGGTGAGTGTTGTGGTGGTGGTGGCGAGTGTTGTGGTGGTGGTGGTGAGTGTTATGGTGGTGGTGAGTGTTGTGGTGGTGGTGAGTGTTGTGGTGGTGAGTATTGTGGTGGTGGTGAGTATTGTGGTGGTGGTGAGTGTTGTGGTGGTGGTGGTTTTTGTGGTGGTGGTGGTGAGTATTGTGGTGGTGGTGAGTATTGTGGTGGTGATGGTGAGTATTGTGGTGGTGGTGAGTATTGTGGTGGTGGTGAGTATTGTGTGGTGGTGGTGAGTGTTGTGGTGGTGGTGAGTGTTGTGGTGGTGGTGAGTATTGTGGTGGTGGTGAGTGTTGTGGTGGTGGTGGTGGTGAGTATTGTGGTGGTGATGGTGACTGTTGTGATGGTGGTGAGTATTGTGGTGGTGGTGAGTATTGTGGTGGTGGTGAGTGTTGTGGTGGTGGTGAGTATTGTGGTAGTGGTGACTGTTGTGGTGGTGGTGGTGAGTATTGTGGTGGTGGTGAGTGTTGTGGTGGTGGTGAGTATTGTGGTGGTGGTGAGTATTGTGGTGGTGGTGAGTATTGTGGTGGTGGTGAGTGGTGGTGATTGTGGTGGTGGTGAGTATTGTGGTGGTGGTGAGTATAGTGGTGGTGGTTGAGTATTGTGGTGGTGGTGAGTATTGTGGTGGTGTGGTGGTGGTGAGTATTGTGGTGGTGGTGAGTATTGTGGTGGTGGTGAGAGTGGTGAGTATTGTGGTGGTGGTGAGGTGGTGAGTGGTGGTGGTGACTGTTGTGGTGGTGGTGAGAGTTGTGGTGGTGGTGAGTGTTGTGGTGGTAAGTATTGTGGTGTTGATGAGTATTGTGGTTGTGGTGGTGGTGAGTGTTGTGGTGGTGGTAAGTATTGTGGTGGTGGTGAGTATTGTAGTAGTGGTAAGTATTGTGGTGGTGGTGATTGTTGTGGAGGTGGTGGTGAGTATTGTGGTGGTAATGAGTATTGTGGTGGTGTTAAGTATTGTGGTGGTGGTGAGTGTTGTAGTGGTGGTAAGTATTGTGGTGGTGGTGAGTATTGTGGTGGTGGTGAGTATGTGGTGTGGTGGTGGTGGTGAGTATTTGTGGTGGTGGTGGTGTGGTGGTGGTGTGGTATGGTGTGGTGGTGGTGAGTATTGTGGTGGTGGTGAGTATTGTGGTGTGGTGAGTATTGTGGTGGTGGTGAGTGTGGTGGTGGTGGTGGTGGTGAGTATTGGTGGTGGTGGTGGTATTGTGGTGGTGAGTATTGTGGTGGTGGTGAGTATTGTGGTTGGTGAGTATTGTGGTGGTGGTGAGTATTGTGGTGGTGGTGAGTATTGTGGTGGTGGTGAGTATTGTGGTGGTGGTGAGTATTGTGGTGGTGGTGAGTATTTTGGTGGTGGTGAGTATTGTGGTGGTGGTGAGTATTGTGTGGTTGTGGTGGAGTAGTTGTGGTGGTGGTGAGTATTGTGGTGGTGGTGAGTGAGTGGTTGTGGTGGTGGTGAGTGATTGTGGTGGTGGGTGAGTATTGTGGTGGTGGTGAGTGAGTGGTGTGGTGGTGGTGAGTATTGTGGTGGTGGTGAGTATTGTGGTGGTGGTGAGTATTGTGGTGGTGGTGAGTATTGTGGTGGTGGTGAGTATTGTGGTGGTGGTGAGTGGTGTGTGGTGGTGGTGGTGAGTGTTGTGGTGGTGGTGAGTATTGTGGTGGTGATGAGTATTGTGGTGGTGGTGGTGGTGAGTGTTGTGGTGGTGGTGAGTATTGTGGTGGTGGTGAGTATTGTGGTGGTGGTGGTGGTGTGTGTTGTGGTGGTGGTGAGTGTTGTGGTGGTGGTGAGTATTGTGGTGGTGGTGAGTATTGTGGTGGTGGTGAGTATTGTGGTGGTGGTGAGTATTGTGGTGGTGGTGAGTATTGTGGTGGTGGTGAGTATTGTGGTGGTGGTGGTGAGTATTGTGGTGGTGGTGAGTATTGTGGTGGTGGTGAGTATTGTGGTGGTGGTGAGTATTGTGGTGGTGGTGAGTATTGTGGTGGTGGTGAGTATTGTGGTGGTGGTGAGTATTGTGGTGGTGGTGAGTGTTGTGGTGGTGAGTATTGTGGTGGTGGTGAGTATTGTGGTGGTGGTGAGTATTGTGGTGGTGGTGAGTATTGTGGTGGTGGTGAGTATTGTGGTGGTGGTGAGCATTGTGGTTGTAGTGAGTATTGTGGTGGTGGTGAGTATTTTGGTGGTAGGGAGTATTGTGGTGGTGGTGAGTATTGTGGTGGTAGTGAGTATTGTGGTGGTGGTGAATATTGTGGTGGTGGTGAGTACTGTGGTGGTAGTGAGTATTGTGGCAGTGGTGAGTATTGTGGTCGTGGTGAGTATTGTGGTGGTGGTGAGTATTTTGGTGGTGGTATGTATTGTGGTGGTGAGTAATGTGGTGGTGAGTATTGTGGTGGTGATGGTGAATATTGTTGTGGTGACGGTGGTTAGTGGAGGTGGTGGCAGTTAGTGGTGACGGTGGTTAGTAGTAGTGGTGCTTAGTGATAATGAGAGTGTTAGCTAATGTTGTGGTGGTACTTTGTGGTTGGTGATGGTGGTTAATGAATGTAGTGGTGGAGCTGCTTAGTGATCGTGATGTTGGTTAGTTGAGTTGGTTGTGGTGATGCTTAGTGATGGTGTTTAGTGGTGGTGGTGGTACTTAGAGATGGAGATGGCTGTTATCTCTGGTGGTGGTGTTGCTTAGAGATTGTGATGGTGGTTAGTGGTGGTGGTGCATAGTGATGGAAATTGTGATGCTGACAACCTACCTTGAGGTTGCCTTCAGAGGATTCCGGGGCTTAGCGTTTCAGCGATCTGGTCGCTGACAAGGCCACTGCGGCAGTGGGACTGTTTAACTGGTCGCTGACAAGGTCACTGCTGCAGTGGGACTGTTTAACTGGTCGCTGACAAGGTCACTGCTGCAGTGGGACTGTTTAACTGGTCGCTGACAAGACCACTGCTGCAGTAGGACTGTTTAACTGGTCGCTGACAAGGTCACTGCTGCAGTGGGACTGTTTAACTGGTCGCTGACAAGACCACTGCTGCAGTGGGACTGTTTAACTGGTCGCTGATAATTTCACTGCGGCAGAAGGACTTTAACTGGTCGCTGACAAGGTCACTGCGGCAGAGGGACTGTTTAACTGGCCGCTGACAAGACCACTGCTGCAGTGGGACTGTTTAACTGGTCGCTGACAAGGTCACTGCTGCAGTGGGACTGTTTAACTGGTCACTGACAAGGCGACTAGGACAGTGGGACTGTTTAACTGATCGCTGACAGTAGTAGGGAGTGCGTCGCACACACGATTTTTTTTTTTAATATCCCTTATGAGGCGCCGTGGGTTCCAGGTAATATTTCCAGAGTTAAAGACCGAAATTTTTCAAAGACCATTTTCGGATTACGCGGTCATAAAAGTTTGTTAAGAGTTCAGAGATCATAGAAGTTTGTTAGGAAAATCTCATAGAAAAATAGAGGGGCAAAGTTCGCTCATGTATTACTGAGAATAAACTCTAAGGTCTTTTTTTTTTAAATCACTCATTTGGAGTTAAAGAGTTTTTATGGGGAAAATTCAGACCAAAAATCACTCACTGGAGCTAAAGAGTTCTTATGGGAGAAATTCAAAAATTTTCAGAGTTCAGTTTTAGGAAACTATTTCAGAGTTTGCATAATCATAGGAGTTTATTTATTTTATTTACGAGTGTAAGATCAAAATTTGGAAAAAAGACCATTTTCAGAGAATATTGTCATTAAAGTTTTGTTAAGTAAAATAGACATCTTAGCTGTATGTTTTAGTTATTATTGCCATTTACAGCTGTTTCACCTGTAAAAAGACCGAAAATTATTCAGAGACCATTTGAAGACCAAAAATATGAAAAAGACCATTTGAAGACCGAAACTGAACAGAGTCCACTTTGAGACCAAAATTCGTCAGGGGTTCATTTTAAGGCCAAAATTTGAGTCCAGTTCATAACCGAAAATTAGGCAGAGTTCGTTTGAAGACCGAAATTTGACAGAGCCCACTTCAAGGCCAAAATTAATACGAATCCACTTTGAGACCAAAATATTTCAGAGTTTTACTTATACATGCATTCTTAGAGTTCTAATGGAGGAAATTCAATTATTATCAGAGTCCAGTTGAGACCCAAAAAATTGACAGAGACCAATTTAAGACCAAATTTGTTAGAGACCCCATTTATAAGTGTAGTTTCGCTACTAACAGCCCAATGTTAGCCCTAACGTTTTGTTAGGCCAAAACACAGTAACAAATTTACCAAGTCATTCTTTTCTTAACGTTCCTTAACTAAAATAACAGTTTTCTCATAGATAAATAGTCAAAGGAAACTTTCCAACACTGTCCATAACTAACTTTATCCATCGGCAATCAACTAAAAAATAGTCACTGTCACCATTTCTTAACTAAACTTATTCACCAATCAACAGAAAATAGCTATGTTCGTCATCTTTTCTTGTCATTGCTTAACTAAAATATCACATCTCTTAGCTGAAAATAGTCTAGTGTAGCTTCGTTCAACACTTTCTTAACTGACAGTATACTTCATTGAGTAAGAAACATAGTCAAAAAACACTCTTCGAGACTTCAGGGACACACACCCAAAGACACTCTTCAAGACATCAAAGATACTCTTCGAGATATCAAAGACTTTCTTCGAGACATCAAAGACACTCTTTGAAACATCCAGGACACACTCAGATACATAAAAATACTCTTCGAGACATCAAAGACACTCGCAGAGACATCAAAATACTCTCAAGGACACCCATAACACGCCCAAAGACACCAATAACACACGAAAAGACGTCAATAACGCACTCAAAGGCATAATAACGCACTCAAAGACATCAAATACACAATCAAACACATTAATAATGCACTCAAAGACATCAAAATACTACTCAAGTCCTCAAAGTTTTTCTTAAAGACGTCAAGATACTACTCATGTCCACAAAAATTATTCTCAGATTCATCAAAAGGGAATCTCAATCTTCAAAGTTATTATCAGTCATCAAAATTATTCTCAGTCATCAAATGTTAATCTCAGTCATCAAAGTTACTCTCAGAGACATCAAAAGTTTTTCTCAGAGACGTCAAAAGTTATTCTCAGTCATCAAATTTGATCGCAATCACTTTTCTTCATTCATCAATGTTGTTCTCTAAGACATCAATGTGGTTCTCTGAGACATTGTAGGGAACTGACTCGTGAGATTTATATTTATTTAATTTACATGAATTTATTTAGAATTTATATTTACATTAATTTATATATTTTGATAGCAATTTGTATGAGGTTTAGCAGACTGTATTTCTGCAATATTCTCACAAATCGACTCCTTACACATTAGGGGGGGGTTATATTAAATTTATATATGCAGCCAATCAAACTATAGGATTAAACTACATATACTATCAATGAATATTTAGAAGCCTTATCTAATTGTATGGTAGTCTTAGTACACACTGTATAAATACGGATGTTGACACCAAATAATCCTCATAGTTGAGAGACTAGCATCCACCCATATACTGATGTACCAAGATTAATTCTTGCTTCCTCTTCTATACCTGTTAAAAGGACACGTGCTGTAGAGAAAGAATCCTATATATGACAGCTATATCGGAGGAAAAACTGTATATCAGAGAAGATAAGGACCAAGGAATAATTACCTGGATGATGTCACTTGTCATGCGTGCTAACCGGAATTAATCTTATCTACCTAACATTACTGGCCAATAATGACTAGACAGAATTTCGGAAAGACACTTTCCTTGTTTAGATGTTGACTGTGTGTTGATGATGGTAGAAGCACTAATTTGATATCCATAACACTCCGTCTAAGGGAGAATTATTGTAGCTGAACTCGCTCAAGCGACTATGATCTTAAACAATGGCCGACCTCTTTCCCACCACTGACGCTTGGCTCTTCTTATTCAGATGTCAATAATTGGTAGAAAGGTCACATTTAATCTATTTTAGTACTGATAATTAAGTTATTTGATATTAAAAGTCCAAAGACTGCTGTATTAAGAATAATTCCCAACAGAATAACTGGGGAATTTATAGCGCTATGTGGTAATGATATCCCGTTTTCTATTGACGGAAAATTCTACTATGCTACAATTTCTATGGGTTAACTTGTATATATAACACAGTAGCAATATTATCTGCATATTGTATTCAGTATTGGTAAATGGTGTCGGACTCTTCCTAAGACATCTTCAGGCATTAAATAACGCTCTGTATTGTAACTATTTCAGCTTTTCATAACAAACTTGTACTTCAGTTAAAATAGTCCAGCCACTTGTGCTGGACGGTAGAGCGACGGTCTCGCTTCATGCAGGTCGTCGTTCAATCCCCGACCGTTCAAGTGGTTGGGCGCCATTCTTCCCCCCCCCCCCCGGTCACATTCCAAATTCATATCCTGTTTCCCTCCCAGTGCTATATAGTCGTGATGGCTTGGCGCTTTACCCCAATAGTTCCCTTCCCTTCAGTTAAAACATATTTTCTTAGTCACTTTATCTTAAAACTGTTCTCTGAACAAAAATGCATAACCATACCTAACCTAACTTACCTGTACTAACCTATTCCTTCCCTACCTGATGTAACTTACCTAATCAAACTAACCTAACTTACCTGTACTAACCCATTCCTTCCCTACCTGATGTAACTTACCTAATCAAACTTATCTAACCTAATCTTACCTCACCTAAACTAACCTTACCCTACCTTACTAAATTTAACTTACACAACTCATCCTAAATTAACTAACTTAACTTACCTAACTTAACCTAACCTAACTTACTTAATCTAACCTAACTTATCGTAACTTACCTAACCTAACCGAACTTAACTTATCGTAACTTACCTAACCTAACCGAACTTAACTTACCTAACCTATACTAACTAAACATAATGTAGCCTAACATAACTTATTGTAGCCTACCTAAACTAACCTAACTCACCTAACCTATCCAAACTTAACATAACTTACCTAACCTAACTTAACATAACTTACCTAACCTAACTTAACTTGCATAACCAAACCAAACTTAACTTTCATAGCCTAACTTAACTTATCTAATCTATCTTAACTTAACTTAACTTACCTAACCTAACCTAACTTAGCATAACTTACCTAACCTAACTTAAATTGCATAACCTATCCTAACCTAACTAACCTAACCTAACTTACCTAACCTAACCTAACTTACCTATCCTAACCTAACTTACCTTGTATAACCTAACCTAACTTAACTAGCCTAACCTAAATTAACTTACCTAACCTATCCTAACTTAATATAACTAACTTAACCTAGGCTAACTTAACTTACCCAACCTAGCCTAACATATCTCACCTAACATAACTTACCTAACATAATCTAAATTAACTTACCTAACCTAACCTAACTAAACATAACTTACCTAACCTAACTTAACTTACATAACCTAACTTACCTAACTTAACTTAGCTTACCTAATCTAACCTTTCTAACTTAACATAACTTACCTAACCTAACCTAACTTACCAATCCTGACCTAACCACTGTACATAACTTACTGACTTAACTTACATAATGTAACATTACTTATCTACCCTCACCTACCTAACCCCCTCCACCTATGGTAACTTACCTAACATAACTTACCGAAAATGGCATGACCTAACTTACCTAGTCCAACTCATCCACCCAGACATGGCCTAACTTACCTAGTCCAACTCATCCACCCAGACATGACCTAACTTACATAAATATTCCTTCTGTTTTTTGTTTTTTGTGTGTGTGTGTTTCGCCAATCAATGTCTCATATTCATTTGTTCGTTTCATGGACTAATTTCTCAAATGTTCATTTATGCATTTCAAGGATTATTTGTTAAAGTTAGGGTATTTTAGCATTTAAAGGGATATTTGTTAGATGTGTCAGTTTTGCACTTTGTGTTTTTTTTAACTTAAACTTCGTCAAGTTGCTCATAAGTTGTATTTATTGTGTTGGATATAATTTGTTCTTATTCTCCACCCTTTAACCTAACCTTTCAGATGTAGTTTATTGTTTTGGACATATTTTGTTGAATATATTATCCATAACCTAACCTTTTAGATATAGTTTTTTTTATCCTCTTTGTACATTTTTACCCAAAACCCATCTCCCCACTTAACCTTCCCACTTATCCCTCCCTTATTAATGAAGTTATATAAGAAAACAAAGTAAAACAAGGAGGGAAGGATAAGTGGGAAGGTTAAGTGGGAAGATGGGTTTTGGGTAAAAATACACATTGAGGATGAACTCAAACTATATCTTAACTGTTAGGTTAAGGATAATATATTCAACAAAATATGTCAAAACAATAAACTACATCTGAAAGGTTAGGTTAAAGGGTGGAGAATAAGAACAAATTATATCCAACGCAATAAATACAACCTATGAGCAACTTGACGAACTTTAAGCAAAAAAAGACACAAAGTACATAAACTGACATTTCTAATAAATATCCTTTTAAATGCTAAAATACCCTAACCTTAACAAATAACCCTTGAAATGCATAAATGACCATTTGAGAAATTAATCCTTGAAATGAACAAATGAATATGAGACATTGATTGGCAAAACACAAAAAGAGCAGCAGGAATATTTATGTAAGTTAGGCCATGCCTGGTTGGGTGAGTTGGACTAGGTAAATTACGTCATGTCAGTTTGGGTAAGTTGTGTTAGGTAAGTTACAGTTACATTAGGTGGAGGAAGTTAGGTAGGTGAGGGTAGATAATTTATGTTATGTTATGTAAGTTGAGTTAATAAATTATGTAGTGGTTAGGTCAGGATGGTAAGATTATGTTAGGTTAGGTAAGGTTAGATAAGTTATGTTAAGTTAGTAAGGTTAGGTTAGGTTAGTTACGTTTAGTT